ACGAAAGAAGGTTCCAAGGCTTTAAGTTCCTCAAAGTTCCATTTTATTAGAGATATCATATTGGCACATCTCTGAAAACCCCAATCTGAGAGTTCCGGGGTTTCCCTAACCAAAAGAAATTCAAAAATCCATCCCCTGCACCCACAGATATATCACATGGTCCAATCATTTCACCGTCCCAACTGGAGACAACACTCAGTCATTCCCATGCAGGTGCAGGCCGAATGCCCTTGACTCCCAGAGAAAGGAATATTGTTATGTCTAATCCTCCACCACTCCTTATTATCCCCACTTCCAGGCACCAAATATGACAGCTTTGAAGCTCCAATGAAAAGATGGCTTCCAGTGCTGACACTGGATTCACTTAACAACTGTATGATTTAATTAACGATTATGGTGATTTAATTAATGACCACCATAAAAATGTGTTTAATCAGGTCTAGATCAACTTATGACCACAGCAGTTTACAATGGAAATTCTGGTTCCAATTGTGGTTGTAAGTCAAGGACTACCTTTATGCAATTGCCAGCGCTATGAGAAGATGAAGTGGTAATTATGTTATTTAGGTAATAATGTGTTTTATTCTGCAACAATTGCAGCTGGGTGCAAAATTTTGGAGCTGAAGGTCTGAATTGCCTACTGGACATATTGAAAGGTCTTCATGATGAGAAGGATGAGTTTTCTGGGTAAGGACACTTGGATTAAAATAGTTTAATTTGAGGTAAAATGATGATAAAATCTATCCATATAAATTTGTATGCATATATTGTAAACTAATATAGATAATAAACTTAGTATAGTATAATATAGATAGAATATGCTTAATTCACAATCCCCTAGATGGAATGCTTGCACACAAATATGCAGCTAGATAAATTTGTGTATATGCCTACCCATTCTGCCTCATTTGTGTATACGGATTATAGACAAATTATATGGATTGTAATCAACCATGCTGGTCCAATGCTGGTTGGTAGAGAGATGTTTTTTGACTTCTCAGTGTAGGGCTGAGAGGGTGTTATTGGCCCAAATCACCAAGTGAGTTTCTATGCCTAAAGGAGATCTAGAACCTGAGTCTTCTTACCTACTCCAGAACTTTAAATACACCTGCTTTCATAAGTAGGTAGGTAGATAGGTTGGAAAGTTGAAAGAATATAGCTTTTAATATGGATGATGGGTGGATGGATAAGATAATATTTGCATGCTGGAAATATGTTTTAATTGTGTGTTTAATTTATGTATAAAAAGATTAAAAGAGAAAAATAAGAACATCTGGGTAGGATAAGGATAAATGGATGTATGGATCCATGAGATTGGGTATAATGGAATTTGTCTTGTGCGTAGTATTCTTATCCTGTCATATCTTTCTCTGATTCCTGCTGAGTTTTGATATAGTTAGGATCTCTCTGCTATAATTTCTTATGGTGTTGCATGTTTTTATAATGTTCTGGGATGGAAGCCCACATGCATAAATAGATAATTCTATGTGTAGAATTAATATTATTTCAGTTTTGTTTCTTGTTTTTTCCAGGTCATATGACTACAGGATTGAACATGAAATTATTAGATGCTTAAAAGCTTTTATGAANGTCTGGGATTCAAAGAGGCATGGCATAGTTAGTTGGCAAGCAAATTCACAAGCTGGAAAGGGGTTAGAAGAATCAGGATTGTCTTAGTATAGTGGCTTGTGAAAATATACTATATTATTCAGAGAAGCAATAGGAGTAAGCTGGAACAGTGAGATAAATTATAAAGTGGCATTTATTGTTTTGCCATCCACAGTACTAAAAACACATACAATATTATGTTTTAAATGTCTTACAGCTTCCAATTTTAGCAAAAGAATAATACAAAAAGCAGTACTTTAATCATACGTTTATTATTTGAAACTCATGCTAATGCTTGGAATAGTCCCTATGTTATACATGTGTTCATTCATTATGAAAAAGTTTAAATCTACCCTAACAGAGTTTGACCCAAGAGTGCATATTGAGTTTCCTTGAATCAATCCTCCATCTTGAGCCCATATAGAAATGTAACATTATTGTCAAAATAAGTGAGTTAAGGCTTAAATAGCTTCATCAAAGATATTGAGAGGTGAGAAAGTAAATACACTTCAAAGTAATATTAGTTTTGCCAGCCCAAAAGAGTCAATTTAATAGTTTAATAAAATAACAGCTTCTTAAACTGGGCATAATTTCAGTGATAGATAATTCATTAGCCATTCTCCTCTCTGTTTGGAATTGCATCTGCAACAGTGTGAATGTGGAGGGTGTATTGTATACAATAGCAAAAAAGCAATCAATTTTGTAAAGCATTGTGCAGACGTTTAATTTAGTATTTCAAAGTGAATCTTTATTTTGATTTGTAATCTCTTTTAATGGAATGATTCAGTTGAAACTTCGGTGAAAGCCCCATTAGAAGCTTTGCACAGACAGCCCTGGTAATTAGCAGAATTGCATGAAGAGATTTAAAAGAACATTGATTTTGATTTTTCCAATATATTTGCCAAAGTACTCCGACATTATAGTTAAGAAAGTAGCACAATTTAAAATTGAATGGAAAATAATAGAAAAAGAACACCAATGTTAATTTTATATTTTATTAATCAGCTTGAGAGGTTCACCAGTATGAGGATAAAGAAGGATAAAGAAAAACCCAATACAGCACATAGGAATTCATCTACTTCATACGCAGATATTTCTGGGTCAGGTCAGACATTGCAGGATATTTCTGATGAAGATGTGCTGGTTCTCTTTGAGCAGATGCTGGTAAGTACCATTATGATTATATCTTGAGAATAACAAAGCTAAAAGTTTTCTATGCTTATAGTTATGCTGAAATGAATATGGGATTTTTGTGATGTGAAAAATTCTCTTTCTGCTCTGGGAAGGAAGACTTTGATTTGTTTTTCTACAAGAGCAAGTAAACAACAATCCTAAAACCAGAATTCATTTGGGAGAACTCAAATATTGTTACTTGTAATTTTGTCAAAGGAATATAGCTTCATATGACCGGATAGTCATCTAGTAGGGAATCAGTCCTGCAGTGTACATGTGGATAGACTTGATGATTTCCTAGATACCTCCCAACTTGATAATTCTTGATAATTTATGCTTTCTTTGCTAGGTGGATATGAATCTAAATGAGGAAAAGCAGCAGCCACTAAGGGAGAAAGACATTAGTATCAAGAGAGAAATGGTTTCTCAGTACCTGCATACTTCCAAAGCTGTGAGTTCTTGGGTTGTGGTCAAATTTATAAAATGCTTCTAGGGTTTGTTTGATTTATGTTGCAGGATAAGTGAAACTGATTAAAGATAATCAAGCAGCACATTTGTGAGCATGGAGAAAAGAGCAAGAAGATTACTAGAAGCAGGCATGGGTTTATTAAAAACAGCATATCTTATTGCCTTCTTTGACAAGGTGATTAAATTAGTGGATAAGGGGAATGCTATGGATGTAGTTTACTTAGACTTCAGTAAGGCATTTGACAAAGTAGACTAAAGCCTACTTGGTAAGATAGAACAATGTGGAATAGACCAACAAATGAATTCCAATGGAACTACATGTACATAGAGGGAAGCCTTCAGTGGGATACCTCAAGGTTCTGTCTTGGGAGCAGTAATCTTCAACATCTTCATAAATGATCTAGATGAGAGGATAGAAGGGAAACTCATCAACTTTGCAGATGACAATAAGCTGAGGGGAGAATGGCTAATGAATTATCTATCACTG